GGGTCGGCGGGCGGAGGGGCCCCCTGCTAAAACTGTGTCCGTCCCCCATTCCGTAGCGGACTACAGGTTCTCAGGGCGGGACAGCCTCATTTTCTTAGTCGATGCCTCCAAGGCCATGTTTGAGTCCGACGGGGACGGAGTGACTCCCTTTGACATGACCGTCCAGGTAAGGCTGAGGGGGGAGCCTCGGGGTGCTTCCCAGCCCCTCCGGGGATCGCCTTCGGCAGCGCCACGGGTATGGCGGCCGGGTTGCCGCTCTGCCTCCTCTGTTGGTGTAAGGCCTCCTCTGTGAAACTCCAGCAGGTCGGTTTGCTGAGCGGCTGTGGGTTTGGGAAGATCTGTTGCCTGATGGGCCGTGTACAGAGTTCGGCGAGGGAATTGCTTATAGAGCGAGCGATCAACCAGCGTTCAGGGTGGTGTATTTGTACTTAAAGAATGTTTATTTCGTTGATCTTGCTCGTAGAAAGGTGTCCTGGTTTTGGCTGGGATAGTTTGTTATTTAAAGTTAATTTTCTTCCTAGTAGCTGGTACAGTGCTGTGTTTTGGATTTAGTATGAGAATAATGTTGATAACATGTGGGGTTTTTTTAGTTGTTGCTATATAGCACTTATCCTCAGTGAAGGATTTTTCAGTTCCCCATGCTCTGCCAGCAGGCAAGTTCACAAGAAGCTGGAAGCTGGGAGGCAGCGTGGCCAGGACAACCAAAGGGATATTCCATACCGTAGGCCGCCATGCTCAGTATATCAGCTGGCCAGGAGGGGTGGATCACTGCTTGGGCATCTGTCAGCGGGTGGTGAGCAATTTCATTACAGAATCACAGAATGGTAGGAGTTGGAAGGGACCTCTGGAGATCATCTAGTCCAAGTCACCTGCTAAGGCAGGTTAGCCTAGAGCAGGTTGCACAGGATTGCGTCCAGACAAGGGGACTCCACAACCTCTCTGGGCAATTGTGCATCACTTCTCTTTTCTTGGGTTTTATTTCTCTCTCTTTTTGTTATATTCCTTCTCATTACAATTATTATTATATTTTATAATAATAATATTTTTATTTCATATTAAGTTGTTGCTATCTCAACCCACGAGTTTTACCTTTTTTTTTTTTCCTTTTTTCTGATTCTCCTCCCTGTCCCACTGGGGGCAGGGCGTAGGAGGAGTGAGCAAGTGGCTGCGTGGTGCTTCATTGCCAGCTGGGGTTAAACCACGACAAAAGGGAATGTTAATGAAAAATATCTAAGGCTGTGCACTGAAAAAAAAATCTGGAAAAACAAGATCCCAAATTCTTTCTCCTGGTGCAATTTAGCTTACAGCACATATTACGGTTCTTCTGTTTGCTAGAGTCTACTTGTATAAACTGCTAATTGTCAAAGACAAGACTTTTGCACCCTTACTGCAACTGATTTTCTTTGTATTTTGACCTGTGTGCATTTTTTTTTCAGTGCATCCGGAATGTGTATACCAGCAAAATTATTAGTAGTGACAGGGACCTGTTAAGTGTTGTGTTCTATGGTACAGAAAAGAACAAGAACTCGGCAGATTTCAAGCACGTCTATGTTCTTCAGGAGCTGGACAATCCAGGTAACGGCAGCAAAGTGATGTGAAGGTTACGTAGAAAGATGGAGTAAGGAAATCTGTGTAGTAGCATTGCAAGTAACTGGTGTCTGTGAAAACAGAGAGCTATCAGATGAACAAAAAAGTTCCTGTTACTGAGATGCATTGGTAGGGGGGAAAAGATTTAGGAATGTAATGTAAGCTTAGAAACTTAGTAGGAGCATAGCTTTTTCTGTTAATCATTGGTTCAGAGCCCTTTCCTATGTCTTTTCTTCTATTTTAACTTGGTGGTTCACTTGCTGTTTGCTAAACCTAAGAGGATCTCAACAGAACTGTTGAAAGCCCATCGTGTGTCTGCTGCACTTCAGAAAAGTGTGTGTACATGCTAAGGCACCATAGATTCCAGCTGATGGAGAATATCATAGAGTGGCCAAGGTTGGATGGGATTTCTGGAGGCCATCTTGTCCAACCCTCCTGCTCAAGCAGGGTCATCTAGAACAGGTTGTCCAATATGTTAATCTGTTTGAGGTGTTCCATCTCTTATTTTCATAATAAGTTTTGTGATTCTTGAATTTAGCTTTTCCATTTTCTTAGCATTTCTTAGAATTACCTAGCATCTGCTTGATAACGAGTGCCAATTGCCAAATTGGAAAAGGTAGTAGGAGGAGTGCAAAGAATATGTGCTAGTGGTGACGAATTCTGTGACAGCAGAGAGTCTTGGGCGGGGGGGGGGGGGATTTTGTCTACGAGCTTCTATTAGCAGCCTTTATCTCTGAGGAGGTTTGATTTCGTTTTCTTAACTAGGAGGTGCAAGTTTAATAACACTGGGCTCTTCTGAAAGAACTCTGCCTTGTCCTAGTTTCAGAATTAATTACAACAGAGACCTAGCAAGACTGCCTTAGGTTTTTCTCCCTTTTCTGGCAGCAAGCGCCTTGAGCTTTTCACTCGTCCATTTTCCACCTCCTTCCCTGCTTGCCCTTTGCCCTGTGTTAGAGGAAGTAGCTTTGCTGTGCAGGTAAAAGGTGGATGTTGTTACAAAGGAAGAGAATTGTATATTTGCTGCCCCTGGAGAGCAGCGTGCTCTGGAGAAGAAATTCTGTAGCTAGTTATTATGTAGTACATAATTGTGAATGCTTATGCTATTAATTAAATGACAGCTGAGGAGATGAAAATAAAATAGTAAATGGGAGGGAAAGACATGTTCAGATGAGATTTCAAAAGCGCTATAGAATTTGAGTGAAGGACAAAGGAGCTCTGCAGAATGCAGTAGCTGAAAAATGAAAGCTTGTCGCCCTTTGTACAGTTGTGGGAGAAAACAGACAATCTCCTGTTAGAGAGGTGGGAAAAGGAGTTTTAGTTGGGCGGGAGTGATCTGCAGAGCTTTATAAAGGCTGTCAACACCAGCCCTGAATGTTGCTGTGCTCCACGTGGTGATCTATGGGCTGCGTCTGACCTCTAGGTTGATTCTGTCTGACAGGAGGGGCAAGGGAGCAGGAGGAATTCTCCACCTTCCCAACGCGCAGCGGACATGCAGGATGTATTTCAGGCTCATCTCCTTTCCCTGGTGGCGCAGCAATCTGCTATGCCTCTGCAGCGGGTTCCGTCGCTGCCTTCCCTGCCGAGCGCTTGTCCTTTCAGTGTAGAGGGTTTGCAACACTCTGATCTCTGCCTGTTTCCCTCCCCCAACAGAAAGAGCCCCGAATTGATGCCAGGGCACTTTGTGTCCCTTTGGCCCTAGTAGGTGCTTTTGAGTGGTACCCGGCTTGGAATATTGCAAATGTTAGGCTATGCTGAACAATTTTCTCAGCCAGCTGTTGGGAAAGCAACGCCACAGAGGTCGGCTGCAAGGGACCTTCAACGGGTATTTAGGAGAGTTTGCAGTACCTCTTTCAGTATTTCTAAGGCATGTGAATGCTGTTATCCCCTCTAGGCGCAAAGCGTGTTCTGGAGCTGGACCAATACAGAGGAGATGAAGGACAAGTGCTTTTCCGTAAGACCTTTGGCCACAATGCTGACTACTCACTGGGTGAAGCGCTCTGGGCCTGCTCTAATCTCTTCAGTGATGTCCGAGTCAGACTGAGCCACAAAAGGATCATGCTCTTCACCAACGAGGATGACCCTCATGCCAACGACAGTGCTAAAGCCAAGCTGGCCAGGACCAGAGCTGGTGACCTGAGAGACACAGGTCATTATTTCCCCTTTAATTTTAGGCCAAATAAAAGTGATGTATCCTTGCAGCAGATGTTAACTGCGTTGCAAGTTTGTGATGGGAAAAGAACATAAAATCATCAGAACTGGAGGATCTTTCTTAAGCTTTCTAAATTAGAAATTTGTTATCTAATCTATATTAGAAAATCTGTTATCCAGTCTGGCATCCAACAACTGACACTTATTTTCTAGGATCTCCTTTTCCTACTCTGATAACATCAATCAGGACTTGAGAGGGCCGTAGAAAACAAATACTACTTTATCCCATTGTTCCACCATTTTGCAGGAAGGGAATAATAACACTAAATTAACACCAAAAAAAGAAAATTGCTTTCATGGCTGCATTTTGAATTAGCTGAAGAACAGCAATCTGAGCTCAGAGACTACAGAGCAAATGCTTCATTAGTTCAACGATGTGGCTGAGATAACTAGTGGGTTTGGAGTTCAGCAGATGTCCTGGCTCTAGAAGCTGTGAGGCTTGCTTAATCCATTAGCCCTTGTAACTGGGAAAGGGGAGTTTCTGAACTCATTACTTCCCTCTATGCCTGAGCTGAAATTATGCTTTATAGGAGCTTGTCAGAGCTGTTTCATACACAGTTTTGTCCAGATTTGTAATTAGGGAGGAAACATTTTCTATCCTAT